TCCACTGTGTGTTTAGAATATGCAGATTCATATCTCTTTGTCCATCCAAATTCACCAAGGTAATTAAGTAGTCGTCCATGTTGTAAAGCACCCTATTCATTGAGTGTACTAGACATGCATGATTGTCACTTTGTTGGGCTCCGAAAAGTGGTTGCCACACTGTTCATAGAAATCTTTACCTGAATTTTAATAAGTTGTGATGTGATGTATTGCTTCTTCTTACAAGCTTACTTATATTTTTAGTACTCTGGGAAGTCTTTAGTGATGATGACTCACCATCACAATATCACATTCATACCTGCCTTGGTATTCGTTGTACGCCTCTGTCCCCAATTAATCGTCCTTTTTTCAAGCAACATGCAAGATTTCATCTCTTTTAAAATGATTTTATTTACAAATTGGTATAGAAATAAAAAGTACAAATTACTTAATTTAAAACTACATCAAAAGTTCTACATAGCGAGTGGTGACATGCCTATTTTATTTTATCAAATGATGAATGAAAACGCTTACGCAAACAAGAGTTATCACAAGCCTAGAATAGTAAAGGGGACAATTAATCAGCGACGGAGGGAGTTTATTATTATGTTGAACCAAAACTTCCCAATTTATTTGTGTATTGTATCCTTTTTTGTTGTAATTTAAAAGCCTTCTTACTCATTCACATCAGTCATCATTATGTTGATAATATGTGCTGATTGTATAGTCTATACGAAGAGTGCATGATCACATTTGTAAACAATTGCTGTTATTGTAATGTTTTAGTAGGGCAATAAAAACTTTAATGTTCACTTGTCTTCTTATGATTTATTATTTGCTGTTGTCATCTATCTTTGTACAAAAAAGCTATGTTTGTAATATTGCATTGCAAACATGATTTTTTGGGGATGTAGGTGGTGGTGTACTGGTATGTCTTTTCAAACAAGATCTTTCATTCATTTTATTTTAATGTATATCATGGATGAATTTAAACTTCATCGCATAACTTCACTAAGGCTTCGTTTGGTCTTTTAGAGTTAGTAGCTCTTGACTTGCTTATTTCGTTGAAAGGATGTTACCAAATGCTTTTTCTTTCAAATGAACAAGTTGATACAGCCTTCGGTTATATAACCTTTGCCAGATTCTCCATATAACTCTAAAACATAATTTAAGTATTTCACCAATAACATTTGTCAAACAGCTTCAAAGCTTCGAGACAGAGCTTGAGATTCCAAAGATTGCTAATGAAGAAGGTGGTCCCCCAACTTTCCGCGCTGTTTTTATTCGTGCACCTGCAATCCTGGAAGTGGGCCCAGATGTTGAGGTTCTTGCGGATGTTCTGACCATGAAAACTGCGGGTTCTCATTCTTCTACCCAAGATCAACAACAGGCAAGCTTCCACCGATTTTCTGCGTGAACAATGCTCCCTTCATACCCATCCTTTCCAATTCTCAACAGGCTTCCTTTTTGGCTCAGGTAACATGTACACAAAGGCATTCAAAAGAGCTATCCACCCATGACCCACCCCAAAAAGAAAAAAATCATAGGAATTCATTTCATCATTGCAAAAAGGGATTGGCCAACCAAGAAAGAAAAGAACATACCCTCTTTGCCACACAAAACACGTTTTTTGCAATCCAACCTTTTGGGGGTAAACAAAAGTTAGTGACCAAACACTTTGAATATTCTTGATCAACCATTTGCCTTTAAAATCTCATGTTAATAAAAAAATGTCCAAAATGTTGTGTGCCAAACTGCCCAATAGCATACATCTCAGCACACAAGAATTATGAATTCTCAACCATTAAAGGCCATAAATGGAGTAAAAATGTTAACATGTGAAGACATGGATATATTTGTCTATGTTCATGTATATTAGGCTAAGTAGACAATTAATGCATTACATTAGTACGGTATAGAAGCTTGTGTTGAACACCAATGCATTACTGTGAATCAATGATAAAATGTAGCATTAAGTAGTTGGACACATAGGTTTAAGCAATTGGAAATATTATAAAGTATATTCTTTTGCATGTCAAGAAATGTAGCGGCCGAAAAATTTCAGGCATCAAAAAAGGTTCCAACTCCATTGGTGCTATTCATTTGGTCGTCATTGTCTCCTTCTGGTTTTGGTCCGGGTCCCATCCACCTCTCACACAACTTTCTCAGGACAACTTCTCTTGGAGTAGTTGTTTTTGAACTTTGAGTGCTTTTTTTGCTTCCTTCATCATCATATTCCTTCTCTTCAATTGTTAACAATGTTTGTATTATCTTCAGTGCCAGCTCTTCAAAATTCAATGGGGATAAACCAGGAATTACATCATCTATAGCCTTCTCCCATTCAAATTTGAATTGATTAGTATCTAGACCTATTGAATTGATCAATTCAAATGGGAATGAGAATATTGATCAATTCATATGGGAGAAGGTAATATAAGAAGTAATCACATGCGCATTCCATTTTAATTTGAAAGAGCGAGTGCTGAGGCTAAAGCATACACTATAAGCAATTGAAGAGGAGAAATGTGATGACGAAGGAAGCAAAAGAAAAAGCACTTGAAGTGCAAAAGGAACTTGTTGCAGAGGAGAAGTTTTCTAGATATCAGAAAAGGCAGAATGCTGAGATCTCCATGAGAGGTGGATGGGGCCGAGATTGTGGCTAATAGAGTAATAGGAGATGATGATGGCCAAAAGAATAACAACTATGAAGTGGTACTTGCTTCGGCTCCTGAAAAAATAGGGCCACCAAATGCTATGTTTCTTGACCTATATAGGAATATACTCCGCAATATTTCCAATTGCTTAACCAACTGCTTAACATTATATTTTATTTCATATTCACAGTATGGCATTAGTGTTTTAGACAGATTGCTATACCGCACCACTGTAATGCATTAGTGCCCTATTTAGTTTGCTATATATGAACACAAACAAATACATGTGCATTCGTTCAATTTTTTTTTCGGTTTATGGTTTTCAATGATTGAGAATTCATTAGTCTTGTGTTGAGACGTGTGCGATATTGCTATGAGAGAATTTCACACAACTTTTTGGACAATTTTTTTTGTTTAACATGAGCTTTTTGAGGTAAAGGAGTGATCATGCGTGATGCATCTATTAGAAGTGTTTGGTGACCAACTTTTCTTTCCCCCCAAAAAGTTTGACTGCACGAAACTTGCTTTGTGCCATACAGGGCGTTCTTTTTTCTTTCTTGGTTGGTCACTCTTTATTGGAAATTCTGTTATGAATTGCTGGGATTTTTGTTCTTTTTGTGGTAGGTGGAATGCTCTTATGAATGCCCTTAAGTACTTGTTGCCAGATTCAAAATATGCCAATTGAGAAATTGACATGGTGGGGATGGAGGGTGCATTTTTCTAGAAGAAAAAGCTTCTTTGAGGACTTTGATCCTTTTCACTTCATTTGTCTGTTTTTCCCATTTGTTAGTTCAGAATAAACTAAGGGGAGAGTGCTTGTCGTACTTCCATCTTCTCTGTTGGAGCTGAATATTCACTATTATCTGGCTTTGGAGTAAATGGAATAAAGCAAAATGGCTCTTAAACTATCTGTGCTTCTTTTGATAGTGGAGTAACAGTTAATCAATGCAATTTTTAACGCTCATCATGGGTCATCCGAAAACAGCCGCTCTATGTTTTAAAATAGGGGTCAGGCTGCGTACATCTGAGCCACCCTTACACTGCAATGGGCGGGAGCCTTTGAGGCACTAGGGTAATGTTGTTGTTGTTGTTATGAGGGGAGAGTGCTCGTTGTCTAAGCTCAGACCAGATTTCAATGGCCAAAAGAAGAATGGCCTATTGTTGTCTCCATGGTCATTGCTCACACTAGTGTCACAGATCAATTCTCTGAATGTGGAATTAGGAGATAGTAAATGCAATTAGTGCAGAGTCAGTAGTATGTTAATTTCGAAGGCTTCTCTGAATTGTCGTTCCTAGGACAATCTGAATGTTATGTATCAACTTTCACCCCAAGCACCACTATTACTATTTCTTAAGGAGAAAAGAGTATTTAAAATTGAATAAAATATTTCATGGCATTTTGTTTTCATTCATTGGCATTTTCTGGTATCTAATCATACTCTAATGCACAATTGTAATTGGTATAGATGAAACATGAACCCGTTGAGCCTGAGGAAAGAGTGATTGTTGCTGTAAAGCAAGGGAACATGCTAGCCACTGCTTTTCACCCTGAACTAACTGCTGATACTCGGTGGTATATGTCTCCTATTTTTCATTCCTTTTTTATATAAAAAAATCGGGTACGTCTATATGATTATATATGTATTGGCTAAACCCCCATCCATGAGAATATCATTTTCTTGTTATAGGCATAGCTATTTCTTGAAAATGGTGGCTAATGTTGGCGAGGAAGGATCTTCCAACATCATCTCAAGAGTTGAAGGATCCACCGGCTTATATGACCCACGACCAAGAATGGATCTTCCTGTATTTCAATAGAGGTGTCGTAATGCCCCCCCCCCCCTAAATGCTCCGTATCATTTATGATTCTTGCAGACGTCCATATTACTGCATTCTTAATGCTATAGAAATACAGTCAAGTATAAAGATTTATTAAAAAAAAGAGAGCCGAACCTTTAATAAACATTCAAGGTTGCCTATGTACCCTTTTTTAAACAAATTTGGGATCAAGCCACACATAGTTCTTAGAACACAAACTGTGTCAAATGAATTATTCTAAATATAGAAGATTTCGAGTTCTCCGAACTCCCAAGAACAAGAGAATAAAGAGAGAATCCAAAGAAGAGAGGGGAGGGGTGAGCTGTGGGCAAGTGCAGAGAAAGAGAGAATTAGGGTTTGAGTGAATACTTTTATTGATAATCCTTTTAGAAAAAGTTCTAGTCCTAATTATAATTATCTAGGGACCCTATTCGGTTCGACTCTCTTTTTACGATCTGGGAAAGAACCGTAGAAAACCCACAAAGGGGCTTATAATTCCGCCCGACCCCTAAACTAAATTACAATATTGAAATAAACCAATCATACATCAACAAATTCCAGAGTTTAGTAATCCTGCCACGCAGGTGGTCGCCGCTTCCGTGTAATTTTTCTCTGCATCTTCTCCGGCAGTCAATGTGTCCACTTTGTCTGCTATCTCCCCAGTAGAGTCATCCCACAGTGACCGTGTGCCTTTCAATTTCTCTGTCTGCCTGAGTATTATCTAACAAATAATGTATCTTGGATTGGGCTTTCTCTTCTTCAACTCTGCCTGTAGCCTTTGCTGGACACCACCGCAGCTGGGAGGAGGAGATTTGGCTTTCTTTTCTACACCTTCTTTCTGGTCGCCACAGAGCTTCCTCTTTGCCTGTAGCCGTTGCTGGACACCACCGCAGCAGGGAGGAGGAGATTTGGCTTTCTTTTCTGCACCTTCTTTCTGGCCGCCACAGAGCTTCCTCTTTGTCGCCGCCGCCGCCGCCACTACGCAACGATGAGAGTCTTCTTCAACAGCTTTCTTGAACCCTTTTTGTTGTTTTTCATCTTTCTTGGGAGGGGGGTCTTTTATTAGGCCACCCAAATCTTGATCTTCTTCTTCATCGGAATCGTCGGTGGCTGAGGGTAAGGCTGAGGGAAAGGGGTTGTCGGCGAACAATAACTTGACGATTCTGCAGCGGCTCTTCTTCAGATTGTCGGGCTCGATCAAAGAGGCAACGGACATGGCGATCTTGATGTGCGTCACGATGTCATCATCTTTGTTAAGGTTGTACACACTCCTGAACACCCTTTCCACATCCATGGCGCTGTTTCTTTGATTTGTTATTGGTGATTAGTACACAGTAGAGAGACTAGTGGAGATCTGAGTGAATTTATTTGGAACTTTTGGAGACGAATTGATAAGCCGAGTGAATATAAATATATACAGTTCTCTTTCTTGAATTGAAATAATGAAGCCTAATAAATTGAATACTTGAGCTTCAAGAAACATTTTCTTGATTGATCCACGTGCATAAATAAAGCCTAACAACTTCAACACTTGATACTAAAGAAAGGTTGTTGGCTCGCGAGAATGACTTTGAAGAAATTGGAAAGAGTTAGGAAAATAATGGAAGACTTAAAGTGTTAGAAAATCATTCACTTAAATGAACATCCAAAAATCTATGTAAAAAACTCTGATAGATAAAAAAATCCATTATTGTTCGTGTGTGAAGTGATATGTTATTGATTTAAATATATAATGATATTATTTATTCATCATATATAAATATATTTTTTAAAGTAATTATTGGAAGGATTGGAAAGAGTTGAAAGAAATTAGGAGTTGGAAGTTAATTTTTTAACCTAAAAGAACATCTTACACTATGTAAAAAAGCAAAAGAAATGAGGATGGAAAAAAAGGAAAAAGAAATTAAAAAAAGTTCCGCCCAACAACTATAATAAATGAAACTAGTCCCGGCAAAATTTGACTCGATTCATTATTTATCTGAAACCCGATGCAAAATTAGTGGGGTTTGAACATTGATTTTGCAACCCGAACCCGAAATGACCCAAACCCAAAGACCCCTTTAATTTTCAGGTCAGAATAAGTCAGGTCAGGTTTGACCCGACGGGTTATGCACTTCATTGTTTACTTTTATTAGTTATATAGTTTTATATATTTATTTAAAATATGATATATACTGGCAATTCAAAACTCAAAAGGTGTAAAACCTAATCTAAATTAAGTAATGTTCTAGTCTCTCTCTCTCTCGTTCTTCCACTTTCCACCGTCCATCGATATTAGGTGTCGACTCATTCAAAATGGTGAGAAGACACAAGAATAACAATGGAGTTTTTAATCCTATTTCATCTTCTTTAGTTGCTCCTATGAGTAACTCAAGTTTTAATACTTTCCTTCTAAATTTTACCGTCACGCTGTCCTCCATCGCCGCCAGCTACCAAAGTTCCGCTGCAGACCACTGATGATTGACGAATGACAATGATATATTACACTGTCATCACTTTTCCATCACACTTCCAATACATGCTCTTACACCACAATGTCGTTATACTCCTATTTTGGTCTTAAAAGACTTAAGACTCATATTCTGGCATTTTTATAGTTTTTTTTACTCCTAACCAGGTAGATATATTAATAAAGATTCTCCAATTCTTTAACCAACATTGCCATACTCCCTCCATCCTAAAATAGATTACAATCTTCTTTTCCCTCTCCTCTCGATAACTTTTATTTAGTTGCGTATTTCATAGAATATTTGATAAAATAAAATATTCTTATCACCTCTCGTTTTCTAGAACTTTTGACGTAGTTTTTTAATATATGATTTTTGTTTGTTATTGATATACCAATTTATAAAAAAAATGATTTCAAAAGACGAGATATTTTGCCTCGTAACTATTTTAAAAATTATTAAGGATGTATGGAGTAAAAGTTTAGAGTTGTTCTTCTATAGTTCTAAAGCTCACATGTGAAATATGTATATTTTCATATATTTTATTGACTAACAAGTGGATCTTTTACTTTTAACAAGAGTGATTCTTGCATAGTTTCAAGTCTGTATTTAAAATGCCAACCTTCTAACATATTTCATGATCTTTCATGTGGATATTTTTTATTTTGCAAAAGGTCGACTTTTTTTTGCTACAAATTCAATAAGATCCATAAAATAAGTATGGACTTTTGTAAAAGATTTAAAAAAAAGAGTAATGCTAGGAATATACTAAATGTTTACTTGATTTGTACATCACCATACATTTTTTATTTACTTCTCTCTCTACAGATATAGATCAAGAAGTGTGTATTGGAGAGTCTCTTAGTGTACAAATAAGATACACCAAAATGTAATCTTCAAACATTTTTCAATTTTTTTGTAACACTAACATCATCCCAATGTTGCAATTATATTTTGTCTCATGTCAAATATAACAACCCAAAAAGATACTCGTACTGTCATAAGGAAAGATTAAAGATGATTGGTAACCCGAACTCTCTTGGAAAATTAAACGTCTTTTGTCCGAAGGACAAAATCAGTAAAGCAGCACACCTTTCCTGTCATCGCTCCGTCTCCGTCTCCACTCCTCTCCGATCACCGGCCGTCGGTTTCCATGATTTCTCCGTCGACCCGAACGTCCCCCGAACCAAAACCCTTGCTTTCCGAAAATATCACCGCAAGTTCCTCGATCCCCGATGTCGTCGAGTTTCTGAGGTCCTCTTTCCAGCCGAAGGACTTCATTCTTGGCAAGAAACTACTCTGCCAACGGGAAAATTCCATCAAGGCTGAGTTGGAGAGTGTGAGGAGCGCTAAGGAGTCCGCTGTGAAGGAGCGAGACTTGGAGATTTTGAAAATCAGGGAAGAATTGAACAAAAGCAAAAGAGAGAACCAAGATTTGATCCAAAGAAACATTTCTCTGAAGTGTGAAATTGAAGAGAAAGATAATGTCTATGCCAAGCTCGAGGAGATGGTGGGTCGTTTGGAGAAGGACATTGCAGCAAAAGGGGGTTTTGATCCCTCCACACTAGCAACCATCTACAAGCATCTCAATGACGAGCTCCCGAATGAGGAAGACGGGCTTAATATGGGTACCCAAAGGCTTGAACCCACGCCTGTTGTTGGACTTCGTGTCAACAGTCCCAAGAAAGAAGGTATTCTACAAGTAATTTGATTCTTAAAGCCTGATTTGTGATTAAGTTTCGGGTTTAGGTTTTGGAGTCTTTGCCCTAGTTGTTTTCTAGAGGTCTATGAAAGTCTAAGTGGATATGTTGATAATTTGGGTACTATATTTTGTTTTAGAAGCAATCTCTTCCAAAATCCTTGATACTTATGCTAGGCTTGGTTTCTGTTGTAATGTTTTCAAAGTCTATTTAAACGAGCCGTGTGGATCACAGATGCCAAGAGTTTGTGTCTTGAAGGAATGGCAGTCTATGTACAAATTTGCTTGCTCTATTTCAGTGCTAAATGGCCCTATTATGTTTATTATGTTGATCAAAATTGATTAGTTTATGATATTACAGACGCGCCAGCAGTTGTTGTTCTGAGCGACTCCGAGGACGAGTTGCCATTGGACAGTCCTTCGAATTGTAGAAAGAAGATGAAGTATGGTGAAGAAACAGAAGCTTTAAAAAACATCAATGTAGCTAAAGAATGGACTCAAGAATGGCAGATGCGAAAGGCATTTGCCTTTGATGATGAACTTTGTATGCGTGCTGTTTGTGCCCTATATAGAAAGTTAATTTCTGCACCAATGTCCTTGAAGGCTGTGGACCGAGTATTTGAGCCAGACGACGAAATGGGGTATGACTTAAAAAAGAAAGACCACTATAGCTCTCATTCTTTCTCTATTCTTTATCCAATGCTCATACTGTGTTAAAATTTATCTTGTGAACATATTCTGTTTTCCACACTATCTTTGACTGAAGATCTGTAAATATGCTTGGAAGCTTCCTTTTTGACCTGATAAAATTAATTTCATGTTCCTGGTAAAATTGGTTATAGAGCAAGATAATTTTGAAATGAGGCCTTAGATCATGGGCACCAACATGTAAAATTAGGGACTAGATCTCAAGTAGGCCATTTCTTGTGATTGCTTTTCATGGACTAAGGGCAGGAAATGGACAATATGACTTTCTTTATTTGATTCGAAACGTGTTTATGATTTTACTGCAACATTATATCGAATCAACTTTATTTTCGGTCAGGGTTGAATTGGCCAAGTATTTCATCGACGGGCACCCAGAAAACAACCTTAAGAGGTCCAAGTTGGAAGCATCTGCCAATGCTATCAAACAATCTAGGAAAATAGCTGAGAAGTACATCAAGCAACTTTTTCGCATTTACACCAGCGGAGAAGATCCATTGTTTTGTCATGACTCTGTGACCTCCAAGCTTTACTCTACTCCCAAAGATGAAGATTGAAGACTGTACCTTTGCACGTTGGTCTTTATGGCAACGGGCGTGTTCTTTGGCGAATGTAAATTCCTCTAGTTTGCCAGTGTCTGATATGCTTGGATGCCCTTTTTGCTTGGCTTTTGCAGGAATGTGAAAATGCTTAGGATGTGTATAACCCTAATTTTTATAACCTATGGTTCTTGGTGAAATCTGTATGTTCAGTCTTCTTGAAAACTGAAAGAACTTGCTCCCTCTCGGAGCTTTGTAAAAAAAGCAGTTATCAAGGTAACTTTGCTGCTTAACTCTCAGATTTTGATGTTTTGGTTAATGGTAGTCTTGTTTTGTAAATCATCATCTGGATAAGCAGCATAGAAAATTTGCTCTCATTTTAACAATGTCTTTTATTTAATAAAAAACTTTGTATGCCCTGCTTCTTCATTTCATATTACGAGATTTGACTTAAATTATTTTTAATTCAATTTTTATAATTATAAGTGTAAAATTCAAAACATAAATTTTTAGATCTTAAAACTGTATTTAAAAAATTACAAAACCTAGGCCTGCCATGACTTTTTTATACGAGTAATTATTAAATGAATGATAAAGTGAGTATGATTTAACGGTGTGAATGATGGATTTTAACATTTCACTTCGATGAAGAGAGTATTTCAACATAAAAGAAATGGCGAGTGAAATGGGCCTAGTTTTCTCTTCAGTCCAATCATATTTTGTCCGTAGTCCAATTTTATTGTTCTCTTCAAATTCAGGCCCAGGTGTTGATTGTGGTTTTGGCTTAGGGGCTCCAAATTCAGTAAGCCCAGATTTTATTATTCAATACGGAGTATTATTATTCCTAAATGTTGGAATAATAATATTCTATTCCTTATACATTTATTATTCCTAATAAATACATTCAAATATTCCCTATCAAATAAATCTTTCAAATGAGCCTGTCCAGGATAATTTATTGACATTATCTCTAGAATATTTTAGAGAATTCATCATAGATTACGCAATATAAACAAATAATTTTGGAAAAATTGAAAACAATAAAAAAAACCGAACATTCTAACATCTAAATAATACTCCCATACTCATTTCAACACCAACAGTGTTGGGAACTTGGGACGCAATTGGCACTGTCAAATTCATGAAGAAAAATGAAAGCATAAACATTAAACAACATAACATCATCCAACCTAACTTAAATAACAACAATAGGGGGAGTGAAAGTCACCATCCTTAATTCCTTATAAGTTTGGAGGACTAGAAAGGCTAACTAAAACACAGCTGAACAAAAAATGGTCACTTCACAGAATTGGCAGTAATAGAAGTTGGACAGATTCTTGATCCTAGAGCTGATGGGTCCGAAGAGAAGGGGAAAAGAATCGATTACGAGAGCCAAAAACCGTTCAACTCAATGGTGTAAAGTGCGAGCCCAGGCGAACTTTTGACTCGGGCCTATCCCATTCCAGATCATTCCACCATCCATTCACTCCTCTTATCAATAGAGTGCTCCGAGGGCGCGCACTTTGGATGCCAACAGGAAGCTTTCTCAACCTGTTGCATCCTCTCACATCAAGCAGCGTTAGACTCTCCCATGGTGAACACACATTAGCATTGCAAATCTGCACTAGTTCAGGAAGCGTTTCCAACTCCAAGGAGCGTAGGTTTGGAAATGGTTTGCAGCACGAGGAGGATGTGTTCTTGAACACTTGTCTCAGCCTGAAGCAATGCTTTATGTTAATCTGTTCCAGTTTTTCTACGCAGTTGTTCTCCTCCCCTTCAATATCATCCACTGCCAAAAGACACTCCAGTTGATTGCAGTACACAACATCTAGACGTTTTAAATTAGTGAAACGCAGCCCGAGAAAATGACTCAAGTCTGAAACGCTTCCCACGCCCGTCAACTTGTAGAAATAAAGTGCCTCTAAGTTAGGCAACAAGTCAAATTTTGGCCTCCGCATGGGCAGTGTTTTGACGACAGAGATGTGACAAGTTGACATGGTTAGACGTTTCAAGTGAGAAAAGGGCGCATTGTTCCTAACTAGGGCACTCAGCATGAGTTCAACTCCCTTGCACTTAATGATGCTGCAGGAGAAGGTATTTGCTAATAGCCACGGAACAGATTCGTCTCCTGCAAAATGAAGGCCACAAAAATGGACTTCCTTGCTATTGACGGTAGCTGGAATCTTGGGGTTCCTTCCATCAGGAGAGACATGAACAGCAAAAAAGTTGATGCTTTTGAGCCAATTAACATGCACTGCAGTGACACGAGGAATGCCCGCTATGTCTATGCACAAGGCCATCAACTCTTGTAGGCACAACAATTCCTCAAAGTCTATGATGCTGTTTTCGCTCTCTCTGCTCATGCCACATCCGGTAGCGTTACCCATCACATTAAGATACTCGAGGATGCATAAGTTAGAAATTTTCCCAGTAGGAATTCTCTGCAACTTATGAGTGCAAGATATGTCTAACTGGCGTAGGTTTGTTAGCTTTTCAAAGCCTTGTGGCAGCTCAGTGAGACCACTGTAACTGCAATCAAGCACTTGCAGCCTTCCAAGTGCTTCAAAGGGGGGTAACTCAGTCAATTGATAACACCTTTTTAAAACTAGAGTTCGAAGTTGAGCAAGGTTAGCAAGGGATTGTGGCAAAGATTTGATCTTGCTCTCACTCAGGTCCAGAATTCTTAGTGTTGGGAATCCAAGTAAGAAAGAGCTGGGCATTTCGCGGAGGTGCAAATTATCTAGCAATAATAGAGTAGACGTTTCAGGGCATTGTACCTCGCAGCTTGGCAAGGTTTCTATATCATTACCCACGAAAGAAACTCTCTTTACTCCACGGTTGGAACAATTTTCAAGCACTTCTAGTGATATTTCAGTCAACTCACACTCTCCAGCACGGACAATGGATTTGCATTCATGGGTTGCTATCCATATCCCAACATCACGAACTACGTCGTGCATTCTCACATGACTTGGATCGATAATGCCACATTCCAGCAAGCAAAAAGCTTTTAGTTTCTCAACAATGGTATCACATCTGTTGTGCAATTCTTCATAATTTTTGCGCTCATCGAGTAAGCCTTCAGCAAGCCAGTATTGGACTAGTCTTTGAAGAGGAACTTCATAGTCCTCCGGAAACAAGCACAAGAACAAGAAGCAGGATTTCAAAGGCTCGTCTTCCGTACTCTCTAAAAAATCATAGCTTAACTTAAGGGGTTTGAAGACTTTGTCTTCAACCTTTGGATTAAGAGGCATCGATCTCTGTAAGTACCCCAATGCATCTTGCCACTGTGAAACACGTCTCTTTTTACTCATTGATGCCCCTACTATGGTGATTGCAAGGGGCAATCCATGGCATTCCTTAACAACCTTCTCCGCGTGTGGCTTGATTTCATCATCATTGGCCACTTCTTCCCCTACTTTCTCGGAAAACAAGTCCCAAGCCTCGTTGTCACGCAGGCAACACACTTCAAAGTTGTGATCGGTCTCCATTTCGTTACAAACCTCTAGCGATCGAGATGTAAGTATGACCTTGCTGCCTGTAAGGCCTTCAAGGCGAGGAATCCCCACCTTGTCTAGATCAATCGCATCCCACACGTCATCAAGAATGATGAGAAAGCATCTTTCCCTCAGTCTACTGCACAATCGACTGACGATTCTTTCATCACTCTCTCCAATCCCGATCTGCATCTCCAATCGCTCTGCAATTCTCGATTGGATGGTCTTCAAGCTTCCGTGCTGGGACACTACAACCCATATCACAATGCCAAAAAGCATGTCTCCTGGACTCTCAAGCTTATTGTTGAGATTCCTGATTAGAGTCGTTTTGCCCACGCCTCCCATACCCCAAACCCCAATCCTCTTAACACTATCATCTCTCAGAAGCTTCATGATCCCTTCCAAGTTCCTCGATGCCGTCCATTGGCCAACCACAGATGGCCCAGGAATGTGCTCAACTGGTTCAAGCCTATAAATGCTACTATCAAATGCTTCTCTTTCTCCAACGAGCTTATTAGCTTTCAGCATCAATCTTGCTAAATTATTGCCGAGTTTGAAATCGAGGCAGCGAAGGCAACCAAACGAGGTGTTATTCATCTTCTTCTCAGCACCTGCCTGAAACAGATCGAACTCATTCTTCAATTCTTCAACTCTCTTTAACCAATCTTGGACTTGGGTTCTTGGAGAGTATCGCAGCCGCTCATCAAGATCCAAGCTTTGCTCGAGTTTTGACAAAAGATTCATCTTTTCCTCAAGATTCTTGCGGTTTGATTGAACCTTGAACTGATTCTTAATCCTAGAAGTGATGGGTTCATGCAGAAATCGAAAAGATTCAGTAAGAACTGAACCAACTATTGCAGCCACCACCTCCATATAGCACTCAAAAAACGAATTCCAAGAATCTGGTGCAGACTTGAACCGGTAGAAGGTGTTTAAGGAAACAAAATAAATAAATAAAATTGATGAATGATTGCAGCAAGTCAATATATTGTGAGAGGTAAGACAGAGTGGAACTGTTTTTGACTCCGTCAATTTTGAGGGAAAAAGAAGAAGAAGAAGAGGACTTCGTCAATGTTAATGGGTAAAATATTAGAGAAAGAAATGGAGAGGAAGAAATGTTTCTCCAAGCCAGACGCGAAGAAGGTTCTAAAGAACAGTTATCAAGGAAACTGTAGAATTTAGGATTGGATATGGACAACTGGATTGGGTTATAAGACACTTGGGCTGAATCACATTAAAAGATTGAATCCAATCGATTAGTTAGTTCAACTCTAGAGCTTATATACCGATTATTTTCTCTTGGATTTTCCGATGTGGGATGTAGTCTAACACTCCCCCTCAAGTGGACAACCGGACCATTTTGAATCTAACCGGTTGACCACTTGCAAATGAACTCCCATTCCCTTGACTTTTTTTTGAGCGCCAACACCTAAAGGATAACGAGCCGCTGGGTATGGACTTCCAGACGAGCAATCGTGTTAAACAGGCCACAGGCCGTTGGGTACAACCTCCATACGGACAACTGGGCTAAAGACTAACGGGCCGCTAGGAATGAATGTCTAGACGGACACCTTGACAAACAAGGTGGGCCAAAACCTGCTCTGATACCATAATAGAATTTAGGATGGGTAAGGATTACTAGATTGGGCAATAAGACACTTGGGTTAAACCGAATTAAAAGATTGAATCCAATCGATTAGTTAGTTCAACTCTAGAGCTTATATATCGATTATTTTCTCTTGGATTTTCCGATGTGGGATGTACTCTAACAGAAACTTTGCTCGTTAACTTTCAGCTTTTTATTCTACAAAAGGTGAAATCGCTCACCCCGAGCGCCCCTCACCCCGACCTGACGGGGATGTGAGAGGAGGTAAATCACGGTGACCCAAGCACAACACTTAGCTAGACCATATCCTAGTGCGTACCAGAGATTCCCCCCATTTTTCAGAGGTGGTCGCCTCCACAATAGTCGTTGCCAGGTTTCGATCTTTGGTCATTCTCCAAACTTCACCAAATGCTTGCCACTTGGGCTACCCGTGCGGGTAACTTTCAGCTTTTTATGTTTTGACGTATGAGGTGTTAAACACTGACCCTTGGATCGTTATTTTTAGAGCGCCAAACTTTTGACGCAAATTATAGGCTAAAGTTTGGCTCTTGGAGCTCTCCCCACCTCTGTTTCTTGTTATGGCACCGTGTATTTTTTTTATTCAATGAATATAATTTTTTTTTAATTAAAGTAATTTTTTTATTTAATGAATGTAGTTTTTTTAATTAATAAATGTAATTTTTTTAATGAGCGAATGTAATTTTTTTAAATTAATGAATGTCTTTGTTGTTCATGAATGTAATTTTTTTAATGAACAAAATTAACTAATTAATTTAATTTTAGAAGATGTGTATTTAAAATTTAAAGAATGAAAGTTTGAAACTCCAGTTTAAAGCTTCGGGGCTTCAAACTCATTTCCAGTTAATTAATAAGGTAAGTTAAAGCTGACGTGACAAAGATAAGAAATTTAAAGTCTCGGGCTTCAAAACTATTTTCAGTGCTCTTAGCATAGAGAAACTTGCTGAAATGCGTCGTTTGAAACGAGTCATGATGTCGTGTATCACAAAGTGGACTACTATGTTTACATGTGCCCTTCTTCTACGATTGATTGGAAGTGATAACTGTATACGTGCCATACAAATGTTGTTTTTTGAAAATGTGTTTTTTCTTCCATTTTTGTAAGGACGGAGGAAATGAGATACTCCCTCCGTTTCAGAAAAGGGTTCCCCTTTTGACTTTTAGCCAAAATAAGGAACCCATATTTTGGCAATGACCTTCCCATATTACCCCTTACTCACGTGGGGTACTTAACAATAGTGAGCAAATGTGAGAATAAAATAATGAGGCTAATAATGAGTAACTTGTCATGAATAGTGGACTCCACCAAAACCCTTTGCACTTCACACCGCAACCACAACAAAAGAGGGAAAGATTACAAATTTTTTGTTTGGGAAAAAATTTAAAAAGCCCTCCAAATATTTCAACCTAATACTACCACTTCTCAATATAAATACACCAAAGCATTAAATGAATTCATCTCTCCCTAAACATGTCTTGAATGAAAATAAATGCTCCATGTAATCTGTCTGGCCTCAAATAGCATTGATGGAACCGTCACCTCTTCCAACTTCCTCTCGTTTTGGAGATGCCAACACCGACTCAGCCGATGTAGCGGATGTCTCCCTGCCTCCATTGTTGGAAGTACCTTTCGAGGCTTTTAACACCCCTGAAATAAACAACATCGCATGTATTTCCGGTGTGCAAGCAAGAAACGAAAGAAGGCAGCGAATAATAGAGGCAATACTACAAAATTTCAAAAA